ACTGGATCAGTCACAAGACCAGACCCTGGATCAGTCACAAGACCAGACACAAGACCAGACACTGGATCAGTCACAAGACCAGACACTGGATCAGTCACAAGACCAGACACTGGATCAGTCACAAGACCAGACACTGGATCAGTCACAAGACCAGACACAAGACCAGACACCGGGTCAGTCACAAGACCAGACAAAAGACCAGACACTGAATCAGTCACAAGACCAGACACAAGATCGGTCACAAGACCTGTCGCAAGCAGTGGATGACGATAAAGCAGTTCCTGTGGTGGACCTCATTATAATTGCTTGTGACCTGAATTCAGACTGGACAGTCTATGCGAGTTTCCTTATTGTCCGTTGGAGTCCTCAGACTTGTGACCTTACAAGGTCTCAACTACCTCATTGATAAAAGGGCCAGTGAAGGAGGAGTGGGGTGTCCAGTCCTAAAGTCTAAAGTTTGACCGTTCAACCAAATTTAAGCAGTTTGCCTTTTATTTTCTTCCTTTCTGCTCACAGGAAGTAGTCGTTGAGAGGCTGTTGGAAGACTTTGATCACAATGGGGATGGTGCAGTGGAGTTGGAAGAGTTCATCGGTAACTATGACGACTTTGATAACACCTTACCAGGTAAGCATTGTGTTGGTTTCACTTCAGGTACACAGTTTTATAAAGCCCAGTGTATCACCTGTACAGTTTTGGAACTCATCCGTCAAGAGGCTGAGAGGTGAGATAGGTGTAGAGGGCCATGGGAGGAGGAAATGGGTTAAACACCCAGATGGTGATGATTGGAAGTGAGGTTCCTCGTTTAGGATAGAAATCTTAGATTGAAGGGAATGCTGGGAAAAAACAACAGGCAAAGCATTCCCACAGGCTTACTACAAGTCAAAAGTCATAAAGCCATTTTCTGATGCTCAACTCTTAGGCTTCGTCTCCGAAAATCAATCCCCAATAGTACGCCTGGAACATTTAAATTAAATTAAAACACTGTAATATCTTGGGCTTACCATTAGGCTAACAACTCCAAAGTCAGGTGGCCAAAAAAACCCAGCTGAGACGGAGACGAAGTTGAGTATTGGAAAACGGCGTTGAGTTTTGCACTTGTAATGTGTGCTTGAAAACCGTGAGAAATCAATGTATTCCATACAGGCAATGTGTTGAAAGCTTGTCGGCTTCTAACCTCCTCATTTCAGACCTGACTGGGAATCGCAAAGAGCCAGAGTGGGTGACAGAGGAACGTGACATCTTCAAGTATCAACTGGATAAAGACGGCAACGGCAAGATGGAGGGAGAGGAACTCTACCTGTGGGTCAAGCCACGGTATCACATCACAGCTGAGAAGGAGGTACGGCATGTGCCACAGACGCACAAGGAAACTTGAATGCAGTTCCATGAAGTGTTTCCTGTGCTCTTTGAAGGAGACATTTTTTCTGATATCGCTGCAATTTGGTTTTTTTTTATCAGGATTTGAGCCTTTAGGAGTTTATATTAACTCTTTACGATCATTGTGGCATGCATGCCAAGTTTTAACCCAAAAAATCGAGCAAGGCTGAGCCCATTTTTTTTAGCCCCCCTCCAGCTATGAAATGGGCTAAAATAACCTCATTTAGGTGTAAGGTGAAAGTTCTACTTTGTGGTTTGCAAACTTTTAAGTAGGTAGGGACATGCAGCATGTACATGTACGTGCACAGATTCATGCATTCTTGGCACAGGCCATGTTTTGCACACATGACCAATTTCTGTTTGAATGTAGTCTTTGCATATGCACAGTTCCCACCAGCTTTTTTTCTTGTTTTTGTTGGGAGGTGGGGTGGGGAATACTCCTAAACAAAACCAAACAAAAGAGATACATCTAGGAAATACCCGTAGAAATAGTATTGTACCTTCAAATCTTCACTTCAATTGCACGACTGACTTGTATGACAGAAACTATCTTTCTATTGCATCCTTATCAGGCTGACCACCTGATTGAAGTTAGCGATGCTGACGGTGATGGTAAACTCAGCGCAGACGAAATCCTGAATAAATACGAGATCTTCACGGGAAGCAAGGCCACCCATTTTGGCAGGCATATACGCAGCGAGAACTTTCCCCGCGAAGAGCTCTGATGGCCTTGCAACTTTCAGATGTCCACAACTCGAACTGTTTTACTTTTGTTCCAGTTTTTATTTATTTATGCATGCCTTCTTTATGTTGTAAACACTCTGCCACAGGTGCCAGGCATACAGGCCTCCTCAGCACTGAAAGAAAAGTGGAAAACCGTTTTAATTGTTCTGAGTTTCTCAGTACCTTTTTCCATTGTGAATAACTAAGGCCAGTTCATACTTAAGGTGAATGTGATTGCAAAGCAAATTTTCTGCCACAAAACACCGCTGGCAAACACTCCCAACAGCTAAAGTAGTTATTTTAGCTGTCGGGAGTGTTTGCCAGCGGTGTTTTGTGGCAGAAAATTTGCTTTGCTACTGCCTGAATGCTTGGAGTGACACTGTAGGTTCTTATGTTTGTACAAGACGAGATCCAGACCCACATTTTCGGGGAGGTCCAAATATTGTGGGGGGGGGTGAGGCAGACGGGGCTGAAAATGTGAGAATATTTTTATGTAACTGTCGTGGCCTTTCTAAGGGGTGAGACTACAGCACACCAAAATTGCCTTTCTCTTAATCTGTGATAAAAAGGAATCTTATTTTTGGGGGGGCCTTCCCCCATCCAGATCCGCCCTTGGGTTTAAATGTTAATTTCTCTGGCAGCATTGTGGATTTTGTGCATTGTAGACTTTGATGTGCAGAAATCAATGTGCTCATGAAGCCATGTGTCCAACTACTTGGCTTTGACTGGGCTTAACATGGGCGCCCAGTTGAAAGCTATTGGTTAGAGACACAGCCATTTCCCGTTGATGTGTATGTAATTGTTGGATACATCCAAGTGGCTTGGATGCAGGCCAATACGCCTTCGACTTGGTTTTTGTTGCTTGGTCATTGGTTAGCAATTTTATGTGTCTGTTATTTGAAGAAATTGTTCGTGGTAAGAGTCAAATCAAATTTGTTACTACAAGTCTTTCTCTCCACACTTTTACGATTGCCCTTTTATCTTAGGAACCGTTCAGTAGTGCAGTACACATGCTGGTTTCTGCTCTGAGCTTAAGTGTGCCCTCACTGTCAAAAAAGAAACAGGCTGGTTGGATGTTTTCAATCAGGGTCGTGCAAACTCCCAACGCAATGAGTAGACCGTGCACGTATATTCAAACAAAGTTGGTTGTGCGAGCTCAGCACGTCCCATGCCAAATGCACATGAACGTTTGCATGCACACAGTGAGTTTCCTCCAAAGCATCTTCTTTTTTATGGAAAACACTCCCTCTCTTGTCTTCGCTCAGAGCGTAAAGGCATAGGCGCTGTATTGCACTATTGAGCAAAGCCCATATCTAACATGGTAAGCAGTGCACTATCACAACTTTCTAACTTGATTGAACACAGGGAATGCAAATATTACTTATTCATGATTATGATGTCATGATTCAAATATGAATACTTCCATTTATTTTAATAATACAGGATTCAAGATTTTTCTTGAAAAATAATGAATTTCATGTTGCCAGATATTTAAGAGGGTGACTGCCAGTATATAGAAAGACATAACAATTTTATTGTAATAACACGTGGTGCTATAGTTTATTAATGCAATGCAAAGGATACAATTTTTGTATAGTTTTTTACCATTTCCTGATATTGTCAAAAATTTATTAAAATACAAAGGCACATCTGTCTTTTTTTTTAGCAAAAGCTGCCAGGGTGTGTGACATTAAGAGGCTTCACTTTAAACCATGCATTATGGAAATTCCGTTGTTTAAAGAAATATAATTAGAAGTACATTGACCCGACCCTTATGAAACTCCTGCTTGCCAGTTCTCCGAGCAGAAAGAAGATAAATACACATGCCAGGTTTGATGTATGATTGCATGGCAGGCCTCGGGCGAGTGTGCATGGTGTTATAGATGCATGATAGTGCATGAAGCTATTTTTTCTAGCACGACATCTGTTTTTATTAGCGTTACCATGGCAACTATGCATATTGTCAACATAGTATTTTTCTTACGGGACATGTTTCCTGCAATAAAATGAATTCCAAAATTAAATTTGGGTTAATAGTTACCATTTCAGCACCTTATGTATTGCTTGAATCAAGTCACATGCCCTGATAAATGCAATTGAATTCGTTGGGTTTACCACGAAGTGACGTATAGGATAGTTTTGGTGAACCACGAAGTGACATATTGTCCATAGACTTTGTACATACGATATGTCACTTTGTAGTGCGGCACCTATCCACAATGTGTCACTTCGTGGTGAACCCGACGAATTGATCAGCATCAGTCCCTGTACTTTGTCAGATTTTAGTTTCAAATCATTGTTCTCAGCGAGGAAGCGTAGCAGTGTCTTTTCAGTCAGGCTGGTGGTTAGCTCTCGAGATGAGCAAATCAATCGCCCCACTTGTCAGGTTTCCATCCTCCCTGTGCCTGTTCTCTTTGCCCCTCCTTGAACGACGCTGTGTAGGACTGTCTCTCCCGGTCTGAAGACCTTTCCTCAAAGATGATGAACAGGGTACAATTTATTGCCAAGTGCTGCGTAAAATTTCTTGCAATCCTCGCAACACGATCTCCCGCATCTGTTTGCTTGTTCAGGCCCATTATCAAGGTTAAATGGGAATGCAGTCGTTTGGGGGTCACGTTACTAGAGCGATGCAGCTCTGTAGATCCGAAGAGATATCTGGTTCTCTCCTGCAATTTGTGTCTCACATCCTAAGCCACTGAAATTGTCATTTACCTTAATAAGTGCATTGTACGGTACCACCTGGGATTTGCTTGGGGATGATACATGTAAGTTGTGTTGAATTTGTTTTTTTCCAGTCAAGCATTTTTTCCTCGTCATGTACTTGGAGGGGGTCACAGCAAACATTCCAAAAGCATTTACAAAAATTTCCATTATAAAGCCAAGTATCTCCTGAAGTGGTTAGCTTGAGAGAAGAAAAATGAGCCCCCTAGAGCAAGATATCCACAATATGCATAGCATGTACACTGTCCCTGGTCAACATGGATTATAAAACGATGCATCTTTTCTCTATAAAAGAAAAATAATCATGGAGCTTGCTTCTCTGTATCCCTGAATACATGGACAGTACCCCAAAGTCAAGCCAGTGGAGCTGGACAAGTGACACACATCAACTTGAAATGCATTCCATCAATTCTGACATTTATTCGTGCAGGGGGGCCCTATTCAGCAGGGGATGAATAAAATGCCCCAATGACTTGCATTCTGGTGTTTGTATAACCTAGTCTTTCCAATTGTGCATGCGTCTACATCTCATTGACATTTCTCTGAAATCAACTTACATTTGGTTATTCGTGTTGAAACAAACATGACTTGTTCACATTTTCCACTTCTTTTTTTAAAGGAAAATCTGCCCACAGATTTGAAAACCAATTTTAAAGACCGACAGATTTCTTTAAAAGGCCAAAGAAAAAGGCTACAGATAATACTGCTTTAGAGAGGGATCTTTCTTTGAATCAAGCGAACTCATCAACACAGTAAGCCTTTGAAAGCTCTTTGAATTAACCTTTTAAAGGTTAGCCAGCCAAGAAATTGTGTATGGGTGGGCTGTTCTGGGGAAGAAGACGAAGTAAAAACCTGCCACAAACAAATAAAATAAACAAATGAAGTGCAGAAGAATAAAATTCCACTGATTCATCTATAAGCCCGCTGACTCCCAGAAAGGTGGGGGGGGACTTGAGCTCCTCCCCTCCAGAGAGTTACATTTCTTTTGTTTCTGAAAACGAAGACAAAATGAACATGCACCTACAAACTGCCAGCTGTGATACAGCCAGACGTGCCAGTGTCCTGTAGCAAAGGGGTAGGGGAAAAGGTTGACATTGTAAACTACTTGCAAAGGTAAATGCTAGTCCAAGCCCCGCCCCCCATGGTGTATCTAGCAAGGGGCTGGCAGGGCAACTTGCTCCCATTCCTGATATATTTTTTTATTACAAAGAATACGTCATAGGTAAGAAAGTAATTGGTATATTTCTTTTATCAATTATCAGCACCAAAACCCTAAGAAAACAACACTGTGAAATAAAAGGATGTTGGGACCACGAGTAAGGCTATTGATATTTTTTCTCACCCAACATCATGTTGAATGAGACTGAGCTGCACTCGCTTTCGAATTTGCCCCCGCCCAACACTAAAAGCTGCATATGCAGCAGTTCCCCCCCCCCCAACAAACCCTGGGTGTTCCACTCTCTCCCCAAATTCCATGGCTCGGATGCAGCAAAGGGACTTTAGCCTGCCACATTCATGAATGCATCATCGAGACGTGCAAATCGTGTATGTTCATGGCCGAAGGAAAATTAAAAAATCATGTGTTCTGGGGGTGTCGTGTGAAGAGTAAATATCATCCATACACCTGAACCTAATCGTGTTACTTCAGTTGCACGCTTGAGTTAATGGGAATGAGAAAAGCATACATGTAAATGAATTTTAGCTGATGAGGGGTTACAGATGACAGTGAAACAGCTCTACTGCAGGCTTTACACATCACATACACATGCGAATGCATCCTCCAGCTTTTACTGCATGTAGTGTGAAGCCATGCAATAACAACGGGATGTGCAAATGTCCACAGTTTCACACAGACTTGAAATGCCAAGTAAAAAAGTTAAAAGAAAACTCCAAGCTGCGCAAGATTTTTTATACTGCTGTATTTAAAAATTTGTTGTACAATAACAAAACCGGCTGTAAACCTGAGCGCCTCTCAAGTGCTAATTTCTTTTTAAAAAAATTCACAGCACTGCAAAGGCCAAATAAAATTTGATAAATATCTTGTGCCCTCTTCATTTAAATGGTAAGTCTTCAAAATACTCAAAACTCGAGTCTCATTTCCAAAATGTTGCAGGAAATGAACATTTCTTTTCAACTTCAGACCTGAATTATATCTCCAACTTCTTGAACACATGGACATAAATATAAATTAGCCTGTCCCTCAATATTTTTGTCTTAAGGCTCTTCCTCAGTACAGATAAAACAATTGACTAGCAAAAACAAAATCTGAGCCTTTGTGGTAAAGAATGCATAGTTCCTTGTGAGAGTCTCTAAGCCGGTGTTTGAAGAAGAAAGAGCAGTATTTAAGAAAAAATGTTCACAAAAACAACGCGTATTCCATGAGTGTCCAAAGCAGCATAAATGAGATAAGCTACAATCAAAACATGTCCATAATGTAGGCTCTCGTATTTCACAGGGCAATTATGAACAAGAGACACGCATCTTCCTCCTCACATTTTAACATTAGACTCATGAAAAGTCTTCTTTAATAAATGGCAGACAGCGTCAGGTGACATTTGAAGAGTTTGGGACAAATTGAGTCTGAGGGATACATGCACAGAATTAGAACCAGCCAAAGCAGTGACGAATAAAAAACATGTCACCGTTCCATCAGCATCAACTTGATACCCAATAACATCTCAAGTACTCATTATTAATGAGTTTCATTTGTCAGTTTGTCTCATAATATATTTGCGGGCACCCGGGCAAAAAGACTTTAATACATGTATCTGTAAGAATGGACTGCATTAGCTGTAACCAGCCCAAACCAATTTAATGGCTGGGAATTAGATGGATGTGCCGGTAATATTGGTGCATCACATGATCACAATGACTGATTGGATTTTCGTCGTAAAATAAAATCTCCACTATAAAATCTCCACTTGCATGTACGCACAGTAACTGCATAGACAATTCAATTTTTTTTTTATTCCATTGACGGTTGCTTCATCTACTGACATTTAAATGTACATGAATAAATAGCTAAGGTGTGAAAAAAATCCTAGTACTGATATATATTTTTTAAAAATCCTACTTAAACACAAACGAATGAAAATGATATTGTATCTACTATTCAGGAAGGCCATTTTTTTCCACCAGGGTGCATCAAGCATTGAGGAGCATATTTTGAAAACAGTTCAATTTCAGTTTAAAAACAAACTCCTTTTACAGGTAAGTCTGCTTTACTGATGTTAACGCTAGAAAGACGTTAAACATTTGGAGCAGAAGCTTGTACAATGTGGTGCACAATTTTGTTTCACAAAATGTAAGCATACACTGCAGACCAGCCAACATGCCAGTACTCCTTCCTGAGGTCAGGCATTACCACACAATAGATCAAAATTTAAATTAAATGAAGTGAAAGGCTCATTTAAATACCTTTTAATCTATTGTGTGGTAATGCCTGACCTTAGGAAGGAGTATGGCTAGGTTTGCAGGTTTGTACACTGTTGTTACAACTGTGCATGTTGGGGTTAATTAACCTCAGGTATTTATTCTTGTGTAATGTACACAAAGTACAATGTACTTTCAGGGATCACGCACATAAACTATACATGCTTGAGCTAACTTGTCATGCATGCCCTGTATACATTTTTTGTTTCAGTTTAAGCAGACAAGTTGCTTAGGGATTTCCAACAGTCTGGTGTCATGAGGTGGAGTGTCCGCCACTCACATGCTGCAATGTGAAACCGAAACTGTTATTTCACCCACAGAGTTACAGATTTCAGAGAGATATCACACCCCTAGCTTCCAGTGATCACAGCCGAGCTTGATGCCCCCCTGTGGCTAGTGACTGAGCCGAGAGCATTGCTTGATTGCTTGTTACATGTACACTTTATACCTGTGGTCAGCATTCACACTATCAGTCTCAACAGCAACTTTGGACAAAATCGGGAGTTGCCAGGGCCAATCTACAGTTAAAGGCCTTTCTAAAGAATCTTGGCCAATGTAAAGCAAGAGGAACATTTTTCACCCGAATGCCCATGTTCATCGGGATTCCAAATGGAGTCATACGGGTAAATAAAAAAAGATAGAATTTGCTCTTTCTGTTAAATGCAAATTAGAAAAAAAAAACACTGACAAGAGGGACTTACATGTATGACCCATGACATGTCTGGTGACAAATTGGAATTTATAGAAAAAGAAAAGAAAAAAAAGACTACCAGCATATCATTCTCAAGCCAAAAATATCAAAGGATTTATGGATAAAAATCAATTTAATAATCTCCTCCCCACCCAAGTTTTGCCAATGTCAACCTTAAATTTGAACTGTCAGATATCATGTCAAAATTATGACAGACCACCCCACCCGGTGTGAGACAAACAATACCTGTTAGGACCTGTCGTTCTGAATTATTGTAATGTCTCCTGTTTCCTTTCTAAATTTCACCGACGACATGATTCACAATCTCAGTAACAACTTCATTCGTCTTAAATTCTTCTCGTAACATACATGTGCATGTAAGATTTGAAGGTTTTTCAGGTAAAGTGAGCTAAAATTATACCGCTGCGCCACGCAACACATCTCCTCTGTGAGTTTGGGAGGCTCTGAGATTTGGAGCGGGTGAGGATCTTTGCAGAACTTCAACAACTCATCAACAGCTTTATCACAAAGCGCAACCTCACACTGAATGAGTTCTGGGTTTCCTTTTGTAAACTGCCTTGATAAGGCAATAACGCTGTGCATCTGGACCAAAATATTTGCATCTAGTATTGACCTTGCACACTGAACTTGCTCCATAATGCAACCCAGGAATGACAACAATTAATATGAATCTGGTATATTACAGTCTACAGCATAACGTTACTCTTTCTATATAAGACAATACACTATTTCCATTGCTACAGTCTAAAATGCTACCATACTTTTATATCAATCATCTCTAAAATGAAATAACTTTCCCCAATTACAATCTCCCAATTATATGCAACAGACATGAGAACCACAAACTGCTATAAATATTTTTTTTCTACATCTCTTCTGTTCAGAATTACCCTAAAAAGGCATACATGTACATGTAGTTCAATTTCAAAATGGGGGGGTGCAATGGTATCTGCTCTACGCACAAGCGCCCCCTCAGTGTTGACCAACAGAGAGGTAGGGGCCACATATGCCTTGCAATTCCATGCTCTCCTCTTGGTACTTGCTGGTATACGGAAATATCGCATGCGCATTACTCTCAGATCACATCTTGTGAGCGGTCAAGGTTTACCCTTCCGCCATCTTGAAATGACCATGCAATGCAAGGGTATTGTACATACATGTACCAGTACACACTCCCAGTCTGACCACTGAAACCCTCATGATCTCATCTTGGGTCTTACTCAAGTCATTTGTATGCTCAGAACTGTACTCATGTAATAAAGGATGCAGTCACCATGCACCAAGATGCTAGAGAGTTGTAAACTTACTCACTCGTGTACTCCCTGCGAGAACAAATATGGGCACACAGTGTGGCCCCTCCTCCTCTTCAGTGTGGTCACAAATGGAACCTGTAACCTACTCAACAGTGTGCTTGGCAAGTTGCAGTGTGACTGTGTGTTACACTTTACATTAACCCTCCTATGCAAAAATGCATTTTTGACACAGTGGTCCTATCAATCAAATGACCCCTACGTGTCTGAATGTGTACTGGGGCAAATCGAGCGGAAGGAATTTCTGACAGTCTGTTACTGTTGCAGCGCTAGTGACCGCTATGTGTCTGTGTACTGGGGCAAATGGAGTAAAGAAATTTTTGACAGTCTGTAACTGTTGCAGCACTGGTGACCCCTGTGTGTCTGTGTACTGGGGCAAATCGAGTGGAAGGAATTTTTGACCGTGACTGCTGCAGCAAAAGGACTTACATGTATTTACCCATGTACAAGTAAGCAAATTTTGGAGTGGAATGGGCGAACGGGTCTTTTCTTAAAGGTTGATCCTCTTAGAATTTATTACACTATAAAAACCATTTCAAAAAGCAGTTAAAAAAACTTTTCATGGACAACTCTTTCATTTATTCCCCTTTTACGAGAGAAAAAGGACAGTCACTGAAAAAAGATTTTCCATGTCACCCTTTCTGTGTAATTTGCACGAAAACTGCAAACCAAGAAATATTCCAGATTTCAAGACACAAATGTACTTCTCCATCTCTTAAAAAAAGTTTAGATTTACAATCCCGGCTAAAACAAACATGCATACTGCATAAGACAATATGAAAGCCCACATTAAGTACAGAGTTCATACCGCAGATTCCTGGGAGAGAAATTTCTCAAATTTCCAATGGCCACGGTCACTGGGGAGCTACATGCAAAATGAAAGCACACAAACAATCCACAGTGAATGTAACTGGGACGTGGTTCTGCATTCTCTTTGCCTGTTCCGAGGTTCTATGAGTCCCCCCCTCCCTTTCATTTACCACATCAGGGTCCCCTATTCAATTTGCTATACCACTGCCTTAATGTATACATATCCACAGTTCATTTGAGATGCATGTTTACGAACAATGACTATGCTCCATGACGGTGCGCTGTACACATTCTTTAAGTGCACTTCATTAGTGAACGGACAAAATCACGGATAGGTACCCGTACTGGTACATGTCTGGGTATATCTTCATGACTCATGTATTCACATATTCTGCACTTTCCACTAACGTGAAATGATTCATCCGCAAGTAGGAAATCTTCACAGAAATGTGACCGCTTAGCTGGTAACTTGGCAAACATTTAACGATGCCAACAGTTTTATGAGTCATAATAATCCCGAATTAAGGTTCTGAATTCAGACCTGACCATATTACAGCATGTACAAACAGTACAGGGGTGAAATTATAGTCACACAACAGGACACAGATTAGCAAGGATCGGTACTTGTGTAATATTTCAATAGGCTACAGTACTACTTAAAAACCTTTCATCTGCTGTCTAGCAACTCGGTTTCATTTCATGGTCGTGAAGAGCAGCACTGTGTTGTTTTCTGGATCTTTCAGCTGCCAGTGGTCCTCGGCCAGCTTCTGCGCACCGATGGCCTGCTCGTTCGTTTGAAAGTACAAGAGGTGGTTCTCGTGAGCATGGGGGGTCAGGCCTTGGTAGAGGGCAAGGGTGAACTCCAGTCGGTTGGACAGGGGATAGGTGCTGCGCTTGACGGCCGTGCCTCTGCTCTGCTGCAGGGGCGAGACCCCTGTGACTTTGCCATAGAACTTTTCCATCTGCTGAAAGTCACTGCCCTCCTTGACGAACAGCGTCAGCCGTACGCCCGACTCACTGGCGCCTGTCTTGACCCCCCAGAGCGGGAGACCCAAGGTAGCATGCCGGAAGTATGTTGTATTGTCATCCTCCAGTTCCTTGGCCACTGGCTCCGGGAGTCGGTAGGGTCGCCATGGGTCCCCAGCCGACAGCACCTTGAGGACCTCAGCAGCCCGTGACTGGGCCTGGCTGCTAAACATCAGCGTAATGGCCATGTGGGGAATATCTCCGTCCTGGGGCTCCTCCCCACCTCCACTTCTGCCGGCAGGGGTTAAACTCTCGACTTCCAGGATGTTGACGTGCTTGAAGGCACCGGAGAAGTAGGAGATGAAAGACATAAGGGTGTCCCTGGTTTCAGTGCCTTGAGTGGTCTCAATCTCCACAAAGCATCGTGGTGGGTTGGTCAGAATGGATGCTGCAAGTAAAATGTGCAATGCGGACAAATTATGTGCGGCTGATTAAAGCGTGTACCAGTTTCCACTGGCTCCAATACTTTTCTCGAGACCTCAGCCCAATTCAGCAAAAGCCACACCTGATGAACAAACCCAGACAGGACTGAACTACAGTGCATGCGTCAAGCCTGCCAAATCCAACCTCATTTGGCATTTAGTACCAGATGTGAAGCCTGTTGAATCTCACATTGTAAAGTAGTGTTGTGCCCAATATACATGTACATGTACGGACAAGTACACATAGGTCAAGAGGCTGGTTTTAGGTCCTGTTTTTGCGGATCTCTGTCTTATTCCTGTTACCTATGGTCTTGGTCTTGGATTCTCGAATTTACTGTCAATATTCTGCTGGTCTTGGGTTCACAACTGCCAGTAAATAATCATATATGCTCCAGGCAACAAGACAATGCACAGTGCACTGAAAATGTCTTTTTCCTAAACTATGGCATAAGGCTCAACTTGTAATACATGTAGTTCTTAACAGCTTCAAGTAATCTAACCTCAGTGGCAAAATTCTGGTTGTCAAACATAGACAGTTTGTCTTGGTGTTATCTTGGTGTCAGTCAATAATTACACTGATAAAGCGATTCATTTTATATCAAATCAGGGAGTGCTGCTTAATAGCTTTCATAAGTACATTAACTGATTAAGTGGATAAGCTGTAACCGTCAGTGTTTTCAAAATGTCACTCACGTTCAATGGCATTAACACGGAATCCTTCACAGTCGTCCAATTTTTCTTCCAGGAACAACCTGCCGAAAGTCTCGTAGTCCTTAGAATCTTCAAAATGCAGTAGAATATGCTGTGCCTCCCATCTGGGAAACAGAAAGTACCAATAGTCACATGCATGAAGAACGCTTGCTATCCATTAGCAATACATGTACTGTAAACTTACAGGTACCTGAGCTCGTGAGCATTCGTCTTGATTGAAGCTACATGGGTTAGACCCCATCTATGCTATCAGTCTGTACAGTTGGGAATGGTCCCAACTGTAGTATACATGTACAGTGGTTGGGCTAGCCCAATTTTAGTAGAAAAATTTCTCAACGTTCTCCAAGTTTTAACTGTCTACACCCAAAAGAATTTATCCAAATACATTGTCAATGTGGCAAGTGTCACCCATTACACAAATGAAAATGAGATTCTGCTTGCATGAACCAACATAAATGAAACAACTTTGGCACATGGTATATAGTGGTACGGCACTCTACACTACAGTTGGGCTGGCCAAACTCCAGCACCAGTAGTTGGGACTTTCCCAACCACAGTTGGGACCATCTATAGTTGGGACAGGTGATGTAGTTGGGATCTAACAATTTCACAAAGCTGCTCAGCTCTGAAATTTCTTCCATAAAAAAAATTCAGAAAAAAACTGGCTACCAGCAGAACACACCATGCTAGGTATATAGATGTACATGTATGTAACCTGGTAGACTATGACCTGTGCCAAGTTTTGCAAAGTAGCGGTAGAGTTTCCTATGCACATTCAGTTGAAAATTCCTCACACAAAATTTGTATCACAAGTGTATGATCCACACCTGTGTCAAACATGTCACTGAATTATGGTGTACATGTACATGAGGTCCTTTGCCTTTTTTTTTATTATAACGTATTAATACTGCTGTCTAATTAGGCTAATCCAGATGACAGGAGGTTACATGTAACTTTCTGCTCACCTCTGCAGCTGACATGATGTGCCTTTCATTAGCTTCTTAATGTGGCTCTCCACTTTGCTGACAGTGTGTTGATCCACTGCCTTGTTCTCGACGGTTACCAGTGCCAGAATACCGGGCCCTTCCTTGATGGAGGACAACCTATTGCCCCAGTCTGTGTTCAACTGTAAATGAACAAGAAAACAAGAAGGCTCTTCAGATGCACATATCTGACAGGTATTTCAAACTGTTTGACAATGAAATCTGCATTTACCGGTAATTCACTGTACTCGGATCAACATAAAAGTCAATACACTAAATCAATACATGTACATATGTACGGTATCACCATCAATTACACACACATAATGTACATGTGCATGTAAAATGTGCTAGTACATGTACATGTAATACTGCTGGTACTTATGCCTATGGCCATAATTCTATTAACCCTCCCTTTTGTTACAAAGTAACCGTCAAAAACAGTCAAAAATTCCTTCCAATTGATGTCCCCCATTACACAGACACATGACTGGTTTTGACTGATTGGACAACTGGTTCAAGAATATGTCTTTGCATAGGAGGGTTTTAATGAAAATAGAGATATGAAATGCAGAGTTATGAGTGAATGAAATCCCTGAACTAAGTTCACCTGGTCAATGATATGTTGTCGTACATGTACCTGGTATTCACGACAAATGAATACATACATGTAACATACATGTCTATGCAGGACCAACAAAGGTCTACACACAATTCAACTGCTCAACTACATGTAAAAACCAAGAAATGCACATATTATGACCTCCTGTCATATGGCTTAGTATGCATACATGTACATGTACATCTGTTACCCCATGTGACAACACCTGTGATAGGAGTCAGGACTACCTGCTCACTGTATCATACAGTACATGTACAAGTACTGTACTACATGTATGTTTCACAGCACCATTTCATGGCACCTGCATTTCATAGCACAGGTCTGCATTTCATAGCACAGGTCAGCGTTTCATAGCACCTGCATTTCATAGCACAGGTCTGCATTTCATAGCACAGGTCTGCATTTTATAACACCTGCATTTCGCAGCACCTGCGTAAATGGTTAATATACATGTATAGACTAAATTGTACGGCCAAAGTTTTCGGAAAAATCACCATTGGTTGGTTCCGATTTCACCTCCAATTCATTCAAAATGGGCATTTGTCCCATTACTTTTAAATAGCGTTGTACATGTATTATCTGGTGTTCTGATAGCTGCGTGGGATTTTTAACACTCCTGAATTTTTCTTTTACTTTGTACTGATAGCCAACCACAGTTCAGCAGCCAATTGTAGGAAAAACACAACTGTGATTCAGGATTGTTAGAGCAAATAAACATCACTGAATATCTGTATCCCCAAACATAGTTTGTGGACTCTGTTGTGATTGTTAAAGCAGTGTTTTACATAGTGAATTCAAAGCAGGTAATTAACTGCCATCCTGCACAAAAGCAACTCATGTTGTAACCTGGATACGTACGGTGTACATATGTACTGCACATTAGGAACTGCAGAGACCCAAGCTCTTTCCCCCATTTCATTTCATCGACTGTATTGACATGACTGAGGTATGGCACTTAAGGTCTTCAGCCACAGAAAACTGCATATCAATGCTCCAGGCCAAAACAATATTAATAACAACAATTTATCCTGAGTTGATATCCGTGCAAGGCTTCAGTTAACTTAGGGACATCATTGGAACCGGAGAAAAAGCTGGTTGGAGCAATTATCACTAGCCTGCAATCACATTATCAACAACTGTCCGTTCTTGTGCCGGCACAACTACCCGAACAAACACTGCACTCGTACAAATGCATTTGAAAACATTCCCCATGTTCACAGGATTTTCTAATGGTTTTTAAAGTAAATGACAGAAGAAATTATATTAACCAGTTCGTGCCGGAGAACATGGAAGCATCATCTGGTAATGCACTGCAGATAGGCAGAGGCAGATGGAACCAATGACAATGCTTGCTACCTGTAGTCATACATGTACATGTACATACATTTGTACATGTACATTGTACATGGACATGTGTAAAGTACATGTACCTCCAGTCCCCACCACACAGAGGATACATGTACCGGTACATGTACATGTAGCGGTACACATGTACATGTACACATGCAGCGGTACACATGTACACATGCACATGTATGGACATGGATACAGACATGTCACAAGCTTCAGTGGTTCCCACACACAAATTACGTACACTGTACATTTAATTATGTTCAGAAAGACGGTATGTTGAATGTTTGGCTTGAGTCACTGTGCATGGCCAGTCACCATGGTGAGTGCTTGTATCCAGCAGGGCCTCAAACTATAGTGTGAAATATTGCACTATATGAGTACTCAAGAGTCACTTTTTTGACCTTTGGCTGGTACATGGGAATTGTTGTTTTCTTAAAAGACGTGCAGTTCGGGTTAAAGAGCACTTTTACATGTACTATACATTTACATGGTCCAAATTCACCCTAATGAAGACAAGTAAAAAAAAAATGTGGAACCATTTACTGCGGAATTGAAAAACTGCCTACACAAATCCACGATACATGAACTTGTTTGTAACATGACCTGAAGAACCTCTTTTCTCCAACCACCTACAGTACATGTACATGTACATACATGTACATGTAATGCAAGGCTGTAAATGTTTCTACATGTACATGTGTACATGTACATGTACCAAAAGAGAACGGGGGAAAAAACATAAGAAATGACCATTGAAATGGTTTCATATACGGATACTGGCACATGTAAAAATGTGACAAAAGTGACTATCTAACGGTACATGTACAATGTACGTTGTACATGTACATACATGTACATGTACGTACATGTACATGTACATGTATGCAATACACATTATCTTATGAAAGGGTTGGAGATGACAAATGACCATAAACATTGAATGCTACACCTGTTTTGATGATCTATGCCTACAAGTACTCTCAGAAGCATGTGGCCGGCATCATCTGATTTGTGACTTTACTGAACATTACTGACTTTGTGAGCTGCTCATGCATGTGTGTGCTGTATCATCTGAACGCAGTAGGTACGTGTACATGTATAATGTATTAAACATCCATATTACGAAATACAGCACAGCAGAATTTGTCATCTGTCACAGAAACAATAATACTTCAATCTTCAGAAGACCTGAATGGAGTTTTTTCTGCCCTAAACTTGCACAGCAAACAAGGTCATGTTTTTATCTTGTCTAGAGTGGGGTTAACCTTGTTGACAAGACCTGGGTCTGTTCACTCTAAAAGACCCATTGCACATAACCAAAATCATCTCTGTCTTTAACAGCGTTGAGAGTCAAGAAATGAACTTAACCAGTGTTACTGATATTTGAATAATTGTAGAGATATAGTTTACACAGTTTAATAGGGTTTGGTTGTTGACCAAATAATCAGAATTTTGATGAAAATGTCCAGCTTATTTTAGCGGTTCTGGTGGGACATGCACACAACTGTGTCAACTCATGTTCTTCAGGTTATCTAAAATACCACTGGAATTGCTTTTCATGGAGAAAATTCATCTGTGAAATCATTGGTACTACAGGTATAATATTTGAGAAAATTGTCAAAATCTATTGCTTTTTATTTCTTTAAGTTAAACAGGACTTTAAGGCAAGCTAATTAAGGAATAACGTACGTCATGGTGTTTGTCCATAGAGTGACAAACATGAAACAGGTTGATTTTGCCATTCCTTGAGCAGATAACCTCAACAGAAATATACATGTACATGTATGCATTCCTGGGAAAAGCTTACAGTGTTCATTTTAGCTGAAGTTTAAAAGTCTTTTGAACAGAAATGATATGGTAAACTGAAAACAAACAAGTTTTATTTGTGATTCTGTTTTCATGCTCTAATTCAAACACCAGGAAAACGTCTGTCCATGTTTTATACATGTATCTGTTCAAAAAGTGTCCTTGTACCGGTAATAAACATGACGTCTCTCAAGTGACAAGCGTTACATTTCTTTCTGAAAATAAATTTCAGTGTTTTCTACACTAGAATTTTTTTACATGTATGAGATAGTTTCTAAAAGTAAACTAAAAAGACCATTTAGTGCAATGCAGGTAATTTTCAATTAGGTTTTGAATTTAATATTTAAGAAACAAAGTGTCTGTCCATGTGAGAACCGTTATATCTTCAAAAATAAACTTCTGCAATTTCTCAGATACTGCTCGATTTATCTTTAACTTTCCATGGCAACAGCCACACATTGTGAAGAAATAATGGCAAAATTTTACAGTTGGAAATTTGTATTGAAGGTCACGCAGACCTGTTAGTGTACAGACCCACCTCTGAATCACGAATGGCAACGGCAGGGCTGTAGAAAGCGATGAAGGGATTCATTCCATTCTACATGTATCTTTAGCTCGCTGATGAGACCCCAAAAAAGAAGCCAGAACAAAACCAAAAAATGATGGAACTGCATCCTTGAGCATACATGTATCCAACAAAGTTCTGCCATGACTGATGTACAGTTAATTACTTTTGCATACATTCTTACATGAAGCACTGCATAACCAAACCAAATGACATCTATATTTTCAGGCCACTTCATTCCCCCTTTAATTACTACCCCCTCAAATAAAGTCCTTGACGCGCCAATTTCATACACAATAGGTTTAGCCTAGGAACTAGTACATGTCACACAAACCATTTGAACAATTCTAACAGATGCACAGGTGTACTGCTTACTTTGGTGAATGTTTTCTGGCACTCTGAGCTGGATTTTATTGTCAGATCTTTTGTGCCAGTGCTGTGAAATTTCTTCACGGGGGTGAATTCATTTTACGTGGGTATTGGAGCACAGAATTCTCCCTTGGAAGAAAGCCACCTGGAATGCCAGAGGTTGGGATTTCCTGCCAGTGGAGAATGCACATTTCTCAGCAAATGCTACTCAAAATGCCTGCAGCTACATGTATTGTCAACAAGCTGCAGGGCAAACAGGTACATGTACATGTAAAATGTGGCGAGCGGCAAGCACAAACACGCCCTCTTGTCCACGAAGACAATAAATCAAATCAATGTACACGAACGATACATCAATGTACATGTACATGTACGTACGTGTATGTGGCCCTACATGTACATGTACATGTACGTACTGAGGCGTATCTGATACGGTACATAAATGTATACATGAATGTACATTATTTTACTTCACCATTAGAGTACATGATGCACCGTGTTCTTCATTATAAATGTAAACTGATCTGCAATTAATACATGGAGTGTCAGCAGATTTTAAAAAAATGCATACTTGAATTCCCATTTTCAAACTGCATGTTACGGCATCTAGTCACTACATATACATGTACAGTGTACATACATGTACATGTAGACCTGTACTGTTCGTGTACACATGTACTTACATAGTGTACTTATGTACACTGTTGGAAAGATCCCAAAGTTATGGCAGATGAGCACATGTACATGAACATGTGGGTACCGACAAGACACCGGTATGCACTACAATGTTAGTGTGCTGCAGTGCTGCATTAATCATGTTAGTGCTGCGTGCACATCCATACGTGTACATGTACACTGTACATGAACTTGAAAATGGTAAGCGTGTAGATACATGAGAACAAATGTTACTGGCTTTAGCCCGGCCACTTTACAGCAAATTTATAACACTGTAACAAACAGATCTCATGTTGCTCCCATTGGAGCAATATCTGTGCTGAAATTTGGAACCCATTCAAATGTTGAAAACCTTCACTGTGTGAAGTCAACTTATGGTACTGGTTGGATGAGAGCGTACCTGTGCATGTACACAAGAAAGCAGAATACACACACAAGAATATACAATGTACATGTACATGTACATGTATACCTGTACATTCCACTATCAAAGTCAACAAATTGTACATATATGGCCTTTCCAAATTGACACCCTGCAGTGGCCTCTGAATGTCTCACCTACGCGTACATGTGTTGAAATAAGCCTTTTGGGAGTTAAATTTGTATAAAATCTGGTACACTGAGTTACATATACTGTATCTGACTTGCACATAAACACAAGAAGTTGAAGACTCTGCTTTCCCCAAATCTATGCACTTTCTCTTTATGAGCTCCATGATTAGTATCAAACTTGGAATCAAACTCGGAAAATGTTCTAAACCCCGGCCTCACGTTGTACATGTATACATGTACATGTAAATGCACATGTATAATCATTACACTTTAAAGAAGTTCAGCGCAATCTTCACTCTTGCACAATTTATTACTTCCTTCTGAGTTGATTATCCCGTGAATCTATAGATACATGTAGGTACACCAACTCTGAATGGAGAAAAAATATGCATTTGAGATGAAAAGATTTGAGACTGCAACAAGCATGGATACTGTCCATGTTTTGATGTGTCCGTAGCAACAAACATGAGCTGCCTTTAACAGGAGGGTTTCAACTCCGCGGATCAAATTCTTGAAAATACAGACTGCAGCCAAAGACCATGATAAAACAGAGATTTGGAAACTGGGCAAAAAAAGTCTAATGTACATCATGTACATGTAAGGCTAAAGGTAAAATCTGTCTTCAGGAAAAATTCTTCTTGGACGGAAATGTTAGGCTTTCTGACTTTGTCATTTTCAATTCCTTACATTATACAAGTACATGTAAATCTAATGTGGTTCCAATTAGGGAAGAGTTCCATATACTGACACCAGTAAGTATTCCCTACAGTGACCTTTTAGCTGTCAGAAGGCAAAAACATGTCAAGAAAAGTTCAATTTAGGAGGGGAAAAAACAAGTTGTTTACATAGAAAACACTTACAATTTTTCAGACCAGTCTCATTGGGTTTGTGCACACGGTATCAAATGTGTGTCCATATTTGGAACTTTTTTTCTTTACATTAAAATGTACACACCATTAGATGATGTACATGAACCGGTACCAGCCAATCACCTTAGTCCGGGAGTACGTGTACATGTACATGTACCTGGGGGTGTGCTCATTTTTCAAGGAGGCACCACAAAAACACAAGCTGCAGTGATACTCGTAGTCGCATTATAAACTTGTAGTTACATTATAAACTCAACGGAAATCATTCACAAATTTCAAATGGGGGGGAGGGGCATCAGCTGTAGGACATGTGCCCCCCCTTGTTGTGCCACTGCTCTCAGTCATCCATGTACACGTATGATGCCATGTTACCATGTCAACACAGTCACTTTTGATTTGAGCAACATGTATTTTTTATTTTGATGTGATTTATTTGCCTTTCCACATAGGCTTACAATTAAATAATAAAAGAATAAATGTACATATGCGTTAATAGGTTTGTAACAATAAAATAATTGGCATAAAACTAAGATATGGTTAAATAATACAAAACCACAACATTTGTGGAAAGGGGGATTTTACATGTAAATGTATACTTGGGGAACCTCCAGTTTTTTTGACATTTTATTCTTGCAAAACTGGTAAGTTCCCCCAAAACAACTAGGCAACACTTTTTATTGCGCTGACCCTCTTTTCTGAAAATTTCAAATTGTAAATTGTGAGAAAATGTGACTTTCTTACTGATAAACAATCCACGCCAATTTGAATCCACCTTGTAGCATGTGTTATAAAACTCGCAGTTTCCACTCAAGTCAAAATTTCTCTCAAAACTCAAAACCCTACCCTTTTTGACATTAATCCTACAGTTATTGAGCATGACGTCACAGTCATCTCCCAAGGTGAATTCAAAAGTTAAATGTAGCTCTCTCTTCATTAAAGGAACAGGGTCCCCAAATTTACAATCCCGTAGAAAGAGCACTCAGCAGGGACATTACGCAAAAAAGTTATAAAAACTAGGCTTAGGCATAGGCTACATCCATTGCAATCCCATGTAATATTTCTCAGCAGCAGCGTCATCATTAAACTGAAGAGAGCCCCGCCACCTTACCAATCTATACTTGGGAGCCTTCTCCGACACTCGCTGACAACTCCGTCTCATGCTCGCCTCTATGGGCGAGAAAATCTTGGGTAGGAAGTACCGCAGTGGAATGTCAGCAGCCCGCGTCAAATTCACAACTGACAGTGAATAGTCGGCTTCATCTTTTGACGACGGCAATTCATTTTCCAGGAAAATTCCATCACTCTCGTCTGGATGAGGCTGTGCCATGATATTCTAAGACTACCAAATCAGATCAGACGAGAACTTTTTCACACAAACCCTGATGGCAGTTATGTGATAACTTATTTGTACCCGTTTGCAATTCCCCTCCTGCCTGCTATCGTTTCCGTATTTCATTCGATATTGCAATTTACACCCAGTAGTCTGTAAACTACATCACCTAATTAATATTCGGCGACTGAAAAAAGGAACCAGACAAAACACTTTTAAGCGTTCATAAATACCGCCCTCTATGGTTAACTATTTAGACTTCAAGGCTGAGTTCGGGCGGTTTGTTCTCGTATGTTCACGAACAGCTTGATTTGTCGTTCTTGGGTCGGCCGCTCGAACGCCGGGAACGTATAATTGGTCATCGCTGGT